GCTCTGTGCATGACAGGGGGTGGTACCACAACCACTCCTTCAACCCTGCCTTGAGTGTGACAGGGGGCGGTGCCCCAATCCCCCAATCGGCCCTACCCTGAGCGTGACTGAGGGTGGCATCACAACCTCCCAATCTGCCCTGCTCTGTGCATGACAGGGGACGGTGCCCCAACTCCCCAATCGGCCCTGCTCTGAGCCCGACCAGGGGCTGCACCTAGGGATTGGGCCTGCCCTCTGCCACCCGGGAGCAGGCCTAAGCCAGCAGGGCATTATCTTCTGAGGGGTCCCAGACTGCAAGAGGGCACAGGCTGGGCTGAGGGACCCCCTCCCCCCGCCCCGAGCGCACAAATTTTTGTGCACCGGGCCTCTAGTTCTTTTATAAAAATCAGAAGCACAGGTTGTTTTATATGTGATTATTTGTACCTATGTCTGTGCTCTTTTGTAAATGGTTTGAGGGTAGTGACTAAGTTGCATTCTCTGAATTGTCTCCAGGCATATAACAAGAATTGTGCTGATTTGGACCACAGATAGAAATAATTAAAGATTTCTAGAAGTTCTACTCTCTGGCCTTCTTTCTTAATACATCTTTTTTTAATTTAAAATTTGAGATATGCTCTAAATGGCTTTTATCTACTTAAATAGAGGAAATGAGCAAAGTAATCTAAATCTTCATGGAAAAATATCATTAGTTCAGCATATATTCATTGGACACCAGTATAATGCACAATGGTATAAATGCAAGTCTTACTTCAGTATACTCCAAATATGAATAAGTAAAATTATTTGAGAATCTCTTCTTTGTAAAATTGAGACCTCTTTCCTCTTCTTAATCTATTTTTTTGGTCTTCTTTATTCTCCAGTGAAGGGGTTATTTTCCTTCTCCTTTCAAGTGGAATCAGACATTGCTCCTACTGCCCTGTTGCTTATTTACACTATTTTACCAAATGGAGAAATTGTTGCAGATACACAGAAACTCAAGATAGAAAACTGTTTTGCCAATAAGGTGGGTGTTTTGTTTAAGTCCATTCCTTTTATACAACTCCCTTTTGGAAATATGGAAAATAAGAACATATGTGCATTAAAATACTGCCACATAGTACTCCTCAAACTGCCTCCCTAGGTCCCTAGAAGCAGAGAGTGATGCCATACCCTGAGAGGTCTAATGGAGAAACCCAAAGCAGACTGTCATAAACACAATTTTTTGTCTCTGCTTTTATCTTAAAATTTATGTGAAATTCAGAACCTATTCCATTATGAATCTTTAATAGTTTTCATTTTTGAATGGTTTTGTTCCAATATTTTTCAATTAAAAATACTGTTTCACAAGGATGTTTCAATTTTATCCCATCATGCCCCTCTGGTGCACCTCCATGTACAACTACAGAAACCAGTAACTCTTGTGAGTTTAAATTAAGTTTGCTAATACAGAACAGGGGTGCACGTGTGTATCCCATTTTGAGAAGCATACCCTGAGAGCTCTAATAATATCTTCTTAAAAATATGCCTAGGGCCCTAGCCTGCTTGGCTCAGTGGATAGAGCGTCGGCTAGTGGACTGGGGGGTCCCAGGTTTGATTCCAGCCAAGGGCACGTGCTTGGGTTGTGGGCTCAATCTCCAGTAGGGGGTGTGCAGGAAGCAGCCAATTGATGATTCTCTCTCATCATTGATGTTTCTGTCTCTCCTCCTCCCTTCCTCTCTGAAATCAATAAAGAAATATATATTTTTTAAAATATGCCAAGAACTCTTTAACATTGGTCTTCTCGAGATTAAAACAATATGCCTCTATAACAAGTAAACATTCCTTGTAATGAGAACTATATTTAAGAACTATATTTAAGAACTATATTTAAGAACCATGTCTTACTATACAATGATCTAAGAAAAATGCACAGTGGATTCTGATATTATTTTTTAATCCCACCTTACTAAAGAATGCTATTCAAGTAGCATGGGTGTCCCGGAGTATAGTTTCTGTCCTGTTTAGATGTCGTGTGTGTTTTACATGAACCAGAAGGAATTCCTACTGTGAACTTCAATGTCCTTGTTGCTCATTATGGATAGCAGTTTGTTAGGCCTAAGAATGGCCATGTTATGCAACAGCTTTCAACACCTTTACTGATTCTAGCAATGGTCTCTTTGTGGTGCAAAACATATGAATACTCCTGTGCAGCACTGTAAGACTTCCATAGAGGAGCAAACCTCCATGGGCCTCATGTCAAATATCTTTTAACTTATCGTTGATCAGACAAGGAGATCAGTTATGAAAAATAATAATTATAGTTGAAGATTTATGCAGTATTTAGAATTTGACTATTTTTATTTACCACAAAAAAAATATTATAAAAGAGGGCTGTGAAAGTTAAAAATGAAGGCCCCTAGAAGTTAGACATTCTGACAGGATGAAGAGCAAACAGAGTAGAGTAGGCTAAGAATGTTAGGAAAAATCTAGGTCAGATTGAGACGTGTCTTCCTTCAAATCAATATACTTTAAATATTTTTTCAATCTTTGTTGGGGTAAAGAAAAAACTGTTTTATAGTCAAAATTCATATACCCCTTTCTTTAAAAATAACAGATTTTTAAAAAATAATAAATAACAGATTTAGTATATATGTTAAATATTATGTAGCAGTTTAAATTGCCTGTCATTCTTAACTGAGTCTAATTATTCAGTGAGAATAACATTGCTTAATATAAGTAGGTACAGACTCCCAAAATATGGCTTAAAGTTCTTTTTTGGTTCTCAGATCAGTAAAGCATTTTATGTTTTCTAATATATTAACTTCTTAGCTAAAAGTATTTTCAGTTTATTATAATTCCAAATAACTGACTTGATATTAACGTATTCACAAACATTATAATGAGATTAAATTTTATACAAATAAAAACAAATATTTAAAATAGATTTCTTCATAAGTAGTATTTTCACAGTATATTGAACTATAGAGATGACTACTACAACATCTAGAGGAAAAATCAATTACTTGCTTTTTTCATATACGTCTCATAATACATAAATCCAAACCATTACATGAATTCACTAGACAGTGTAACAGAATTACTATAGTTAAATTCAGCAATAATATTAAATTCAGCAATCCAAGTCAAATATTATTTTACTAAACACACTGACTTTTCATTCCAATCCAAATCAGTTTTCAATCCAAGAACCTAGGTTACCTGATGCTACTATAGTAACTTAATTCTCTATTATTTTATTTTATGTTTTGTCTATAAGATAAAACATATATTTACTCAAGAAGTGTTTACACAAACGTAAGGACCCAATAGCTTCACTTACCAATGAATTGCTACTGGCCAAAGCAGAATAAAATCTCTGAAAAAATTGTGCATAATTTTCCATTATTTTGTACTTTTTATTCTTTATTCACAGTTCTTTGACTTTTCTCAACCAATTAACGCAAGATGCATATTAAATGTTTAATTTTTAAGACTCAATATGTCGAGTAAGACTCCCTCCACGTTCTGCGTGGAGTAGGGTTCGGTATCTGAAAGAGGAGCCGCACAACAAATGAGAGAAAAAGACACGAGATAATTTTGCAATATTGGGGGACCAGGCGGCATGTCCCGAAGGACTTCCTCCCGTGCTCAGGCATAATAAATGGGGGAGTAGTTTCGGCTACCACTGTCTGGACAAACAGAGGTGGCCCCTAGCTGACCTCTGCTAGGGCTTCAAAGGCACCTAGCCTTCAGGGGGTTCTCTGTCTATGTTTATCAGATAGTGGAGGCAATAAACAGTTTCCCACACAATACACCTCTGATCCCAATAAAATTTACTATACATCTTTAGAATATCACATAACTAAGACTGCCAACCAGAGGAGATTTGGGTTGGCTGGTCTCAGAGGTAAAGTGATTTCTTCTCCAGTGCCATGCAAAATATACACATTCATCACAAAAACACTGCATGGAGATAGGTCAGGTACAACAGGTGTATAACTTTGTCAGCATGTGTGTTCTCGTACCCCTTCAGGATTCTATCTTAATGTGATCAAAACCAATTTATATTTCACCACTTAGATAAGGAGTGGGAAATATGAGGTAACTGGAACCATGTTTTCAGTTTATTCCAGAGATGGTTACCTGGTCATTCCTAGGTGGATTCACCTCAATCCTGCTCTAAAATAGATGAAGGAAAGGAAGTGTAGAAAGAACAAGGCCTAGCCTGTGGTAGAGGAGATTTTTGAGAATGTAATGGAAAATTTGCTGCTATAATCATATTATCTTCACAGGTAAATTTGAGCTTCTCCTCAGCCAAGAGCCTGCCAGCCTCAGGCACCAACCTGAAGGTCACAGCCACTCCTCAGTCCCTCTGTGCCCTTCGTGCAGTAGACGAGAGTATGCTGCTAATGAAACCTGAAGCTGAGCTCTCACCTCAGTCAGTGAGTCCTATTTCAGTCTTGACTATTAGAAAATGCATATATGATAAGACCATATTTGGAAGTTGGAAATTATAATTACAAAGGACAAGTTCTTCAGCACATCAGGCATAATATATTGTTATGTATGAGTTGAAATTCAGTTTGGTTCCAAGAAAGGCATTGCCCAAGGTGCTCATTCATCATCTCATTTCAATTTCTGTTATAATATACTAGAGGCCCAGTGCATGAATTCATGCACAGGTGGGGTCCCTCAGCCTGGCTGGCGATCAATGCCTATGGGAGGGGAGGCGGGCAGCAGGGGTGAGGAACTGTGGGAGGTTGGCTGCCCAGTCAGAGGGCCAGCTGGCCAAGGGAGGGAGGGACCATAGAAGGTTGGCTGTGGGAGTGCACTGATCACCAGGGGGCAGCTTGTGTGTTGAGCATCTGCCCCCTAGTGGTCAGTGCACATCATAGTGACTGGTTAACCAGTTGTTCCAGTCG